TACTCTGGATGAAGCAACAACTGAAGGATTATGGCATTGAAGCAAAGGAGATCAAGCTGCTCTGTGACAACACCAGTGCCATTGCAATCACTCAGAATCCAGTGGTTCATTCCAGGACAAAGCACATTGAGATCTGACATCACTTCATCAAAGATCATGTGGAGAAGAAGCATATATGTATGGAACATGTACCTACAGAAGATCAGCTATCGGATATTCTAACCAAGCCTTTACCAGAGGCAAGGTTCAACAAGCTAAGGGAAGAACTGACAATGATGGATGATCTTCCCAGAGATGCTTGAACTAGAGTTGTTGTGGACCAGAACTGCTTTCTGGAACAGAGAACCTTACATCAGAGTACCTCCATCTCTGATCACCAGAGTACCCTTCATCAGAGAACCCCATTCTCTGATCCCTATCTGTAGTCCATCAGAGATCCTTGTGGACTTGGTTATTTTTTGAGGAACGGGCAAGACCTTTTAACTTGAACAGGTCTTTTACCAGATTACCCCTGATTATTATTCCGTTAATGGAAACGTTTTTCCGCCTGCATTTCTTTAAATGTTACCTCGAACCCATAAATAATCTCAAACGTCCACTAACCCAAAACCATTTATACCCACCTTCTTCAACCTAAACCGCTACTGCTCTTCATCTCTCTAAACGTACACTTGCTCTCAAATCTTCAAACTCCTAAATCTCCAGAATCTTTCAGAAATCCCTCAGAAAATGAACTTCATCAACGTCAACGACCTCACTAAGGAGGAAGCCAAAGCTATTGTTGCCAACGTTGTGACTGGCATGAAGGTGGACATGTCAGCACTACCACTACTTGCAGAGAACTAGAAACGGATGGCAAGAATCATCCAAGGGATGAATGAGTCTCAACTGAGCAAGATCGTTGCTCATCCTTACGAAGAGTTCATCACCAAAGATGTGGATGAATTCTACCTAAATGCCACCATCACCAAGAACGGAGTTCACTCTCAAGTGCAGGGAAAAAGCATTTCTCTCAATGCTGATGCCCTCAACGAATTCTTTGGAGTCCAACTGTACTCTCAAGATCCTGAAACCCCTACTCTCATTGACCTGGAGTCAGTGGATGTCTCGGTAGAAGCTTTTGCTAAGACCTACTGCCGCCCTCAGGCCGCCAATCTAGACAGACTGTACATGAAGAAGTTCCTACTGAAGAAGGACTATGAAAAGCTGGTCAACATCTTGCACAGGAGCTTGTGGTGCAAAACTGGCTCAACTGACGAAATCAACAAAGCCAACTGCAAAGCAATCTTTGTTGTTCACCATGGAATGAACATAAACTGGGGCGAGGTAATTTTCGGTTCTTTAACTGAATTTATCAAGAAGAAGGATCAGAAAACAGGCCTTTTCTCAACCAAGATGGGGCATAGTCTTCTTCTATTTGCCATCCTCACTGCCCACGGAGTTCAACTCAGGGACCCTTCCCCCTTGACCACTCCAAAACCATCTTCCTGACTGCATCACCCAAGCTGAATATAGCCATCTCTGCTGAGTTCAAAAGAGAGGAAAGGCTAGAGAAAAAGAGGGAACAATAGGCTGTGAAACCTAAACATGTTCCCAGCAAGACCTCCAAGAAGCCCACTGTGACTTCAGAACAACCTGAGCAGTCACAGGTTGCAAGGGATGTCAGGAAGAAGAAGAAGAATGATGGGAGGATTTTACCAGAAGTGGATGCACCAGAGATGGGCACATCAGAGTTGGCTCCCCCAAAGCCAATCATATCTTCTCCTGCTAAGAAGCAGAAAATGAAAAAGAGAAGGAAGATAGTTGTTCAGAATGAGGACTCGGACAACTCTGGTCTCCAACCCATAAAGAAAAAAAAGAAGAAAGCAGTTTCACCTGCAAAGGGATCAGAAACTCAGGGGGAACCTGAATCTGCTGCACAGCCCTCTTCGGTACCAGACTTGCTCATCACTACTGATCTATCAGAACCTCAAGTCATCTATGATAGAGCACCAGAGACTGACTTCAACACAATCCTTCAGAAGCAGTTTGAGAGAGTCTTAGCCTGGAGAAGATGGAGGATGGGGCCACTCTAGAAGATAATGCAATATTTTGACAGCTATGAGGCAGAAGAAGTTGCAGTTCTTCACTGGGTAAGCACAGAAGATGTGTCTCAGTGCTTTGATCTTGCCTTTCTCATCTCTGTTCTGCAGAAAAAGAAAGAGAAACATCAAGGTAAATCACCTTTGACTCCATCATCTCCTGAGAAGCATGTCAAAGCTCTGGAGGAGCATGAAATGGCAGTCTTTGATGAATGGCTGATTGAGAAGAAGAGGAAAGAATCTCTTATCAAATTTCGCTACAGCGCTCATGAATAAGGGGAACCCTCCACTGCAAATAACTTTCCTCTGGCAATTGTGCATTAGGTGAAACTGAAATGTGCGGAATAAAATGTACAAAAATAACATCACAACGTACCTTTTATTCTGCACATTTCAGTTTCACCTAGTGCACATTTCAAATTCACCTAATGCACATTTCAACTACTTCTTCACTTAATGACATTGTATCATACGCTTTGTGTTGCACATTTCAATTTCACCTAATGCACATTACAGTTTCATCTAATGCACATTGAATTTCACTTAAAACAAATCTAACGGTTCAGATTCGTTCTTATTTCTCTCCTAAGATCATGTTCTTATTTGAACCAATATATATATATATATATATATATATATATGAACATAAGTCTTTTTCATTAAAGAAAAATAGATATTGTTGACGCATGCATACAGGGCCGGTTCTGGGGGCATGGGCAAGGGGCATGCGCCCCGGGCTCATTGCTCCTGTAGGACCCATAAATTTACCAGTTATACATAAATATAAATTATATATACGTTATATATCTACAAAAAATTAAAAGTAAAATAAAATTTATAATTTTTAGACTTCTAATTCATTAATTATTCAACGATATCTAAATGCTATAAGTCTAAAATTTTGGAACATCCACACCAAAATTTATTGGGTACAGACTTCACAATTTTACTCATTCATAAAGAGTTAGTGCATAAATGTTAATCTTTTCATCTACTTCTCTCATGTAAACCCATGATTCATTCATAGCAATTTACTAATTTTCTTTGATTCTCTCATTTAAGTGAAATATTAAATTATAGTACTCCGTATAAAGAATTTAGAAATTTGTAGTTTATTTTAGTCTAGTGAAAATGTGAATTGAAATATAAAAACATTACTCCTTATATCATATAACATTCATGTCTTTGCCTACTTCATTTTTTTATTGCAAGTAACGATGATACTACTTTTTCGTTTAATCAGTTTAGGTATATAGATAGTATTCTCGAATGTATGTAACTTATCAAATACTTAAATATATCTTCCTAACCGTCTCATTTATTAATTTCTTTGTTGTGTTACATTTGTATATAGATGACGAAATTCCTTAACTTTAATTATAATTTTTTATAACAAAAATAAACATTCACATGTTCTTAAAAGTCTACTCTATCTATATTGTCCCGGGTCTATAAAATGTCATGACTGAACCTGCCCTCGTGTTCATCCGGCACAGGCCAGGATGGCCAGTTGGCCACATTCATTATATGTTATGTACATCCTAGTTATACGGATAATGTATTTAATCTACTTTGTACAGCTGTATAATATACTTCTGTATCTATACTTGGTTAGATTAGCATTGACCGAGACTTAGTTTTCTGATCATATTGTTGTATCATTCATTATTTAAACATGATCAATACATAATTGTCTTGTCGGGTAATTGTAGCTGACAGCCTGACAGGTCGGATAAATATAACTGATGGATCGAGTAACTGTAACTGGACGGGTCGAGTCACTATAATTGGACGGGTCGGATTGGATAAATATAATTGATGGGTCGGGTAACTGTAATTGGACGGATCGGGTCACTGTAAATGGACGGGTTGGATCACCGTAACTGGACGGGTCAGGTAGGGTAACTGTAACTGATGAATCCGGTAACTGTAACTGATCGGATCGGGTAATTGTAACTGACATGTCAAATAACTGTAATTGATCACCGTAACTGGACGGGTCAAATAACTACTGCACATGCATCGGGTAACTGTAACTTGTTATTTGTAATTGGCGGCGGATAACTCTAACCTGTGTCGGGCAGATAGATATGTGTAAGTAGTTGGCCGGACGTGTAACGGGATAACCGTATTTCCGGAATTGTAAAAATCATACAACTTTTTGTTATATTGAAAATGGCTGTAGTAGGAGCTAGGAATTGAAATGCCGAAATGGCAATGGGGATTTACGTATTCATTAGGCAGCAGAGCATATTTGAAATTTCATCCTAAAGTTTTTAAATGCTAAACACGTGTAGTCTCTTTTTTGTTACTCCCTCCTTTCCTTTTTTTTTTTATTAACCCGGAAGGCAAACCACTTAAATCAGTGGGGTAAATGTCGGGGAACATTTACCAGGTTTTATTAGATAGAAAAGAAATACAACAGGGAAAGGGGATTAGGCCAAAACCTTTCCCGGAGAGGCATTCCTTCCAAAAAATACATTCAAAAAACGAAACAAGCAAAAATCTAATGGGCCTAAATCTGACCCATTAAAAAACAATCAATATCTAAAATATGGAAATCCAAAAAAATCAAAGTAATAGTATTTCTTAGCCGGGCCAGGCAAATCAGCCACTCGCTTAAACATCGCATAATGGCCCAGATTGACCATAAGATCCGATAGGTTGTGGGCCGTCCAGTTTCCTTCTCTGTTCGTGTGAACAAATGAAATATTGTTTCGGACCACCTGAGATCGAAAATCCAAAGCCAGAGCGTCTCCCTCATTGTTGTCCGAAAGATGAAGCAAAGCAAGTGTAGAGTCAGATTCGACCTGAAATCCAACATATCCAAGCTCAATCGCCTTCCTAGTCGCAAAGATTAAGGCCTTCCATTCTGCATCTTGACTGGAGTTAGCCTGGATCGGAAAATGGATCGCCCAAATCATCTCCCCCCTTTTATTCCTGAAAATGGCTCCTCCTGCCGCCTGTCCCAACGAGAACGAGGCGTCCACGTTAAGCTTATACTCACCTTTCGGATGCTTCCAACGAACGATCTGAAGTAAAGGTCTTCTGTAGATGAAATTTGGAGCAATTAACTCCTCCTGATACAGATAAGTTTCAATTTCTCTTCTTTTAATTTTAGTAAAATTAGCAGACCAGAGCTGAGTGTGATGTTTAATCTGGTAAATCAAAACTTCTTTCGTTGGTAAGGAAGATGAACCCCACACATGAGAAGAGTAGGCTTTCCAAATGAACCAACAAATAATACCCGGTAAATTGTGTTTAAACAGATCTCCCATAGTTTTAGAGCCAGCTTCCAACCACCAATGAACAAAGACTTGTCTCCCCTGAGGCTGGCCCCTTGGATTTGGAATATTAAAAATATTCATGAAGTAGGACCAAATCTGTTTTGAAAAAGAACACTGAAAGAAGAGATGGTTAATTGTAGCATAGTTGTTCCGACACATGGGGCACATAGAAGGTCTAATGACCAAATTAAATCTTTGTAAATTGTCAGTAATAGGCAGACAATTATGCAGAAGCTTCCAAGTAAAAATCTTGATTTGCATTGGTTGTTTTTTGTGCCATATATGCCTATGAGTAAAAGTTGGAGAAAAGACTGCTCTAATCTCATTGTAAGCTGAAGATAATGAGAAATGCCCATCATTTGCAGGATTCCAGGTTACCTGACCCTCATCAGTCTCTGCATAGAGATTTTGAGCAACTGGATTAATGTGACAAAGCCTTCTCCAGATGGCTGAATCAGTAACCTTAACTGTCATATCTTCCCTGGGATATCTAGCTCTGAAGAAAGATGACCATAAAGAGGTATGTGTTTTCCATTTCCACCAAATTTTCATGGTAAATGCCTTCTGAATTGTTGAAAGGGATCTAATACCCCAACCCCCTTCCTCAGTAGGATAACAAAGGTCAGACCATTTAACCCAGTGAGTCTTTTGCTTGTCAATTGTAGATCCCCAGAGGAATGCAGCCATTTTTTTCTCTAGAATGGTAATCACCTTTCTAGGTAAAAGGTCCACAGCCAGAATGTGTAAAGGGATAGAGTTCAGAACATGACAAATTAAAATTAACCTACCTCCTTGAGAAAGATGCTTCTGCTTCCAGGAAGTAAGTTTATCATCAAATTGTTTTATAATATTATCACAATATTGCAATCTATTAACACCTTTGTGGAGGTTTGCACCTAGGTATTTCATAGGAAGCTCAGATTTCCTCATCCCCAACAGATTTTTGATAATATTAACTCTGCCCAAGGCTGTTTTTCCACATATGAAAGAGCTTTTGTCCAGATTAACAGTTTGTCCAGAGGCAATCTGATAGTCTTCAATAAAAGCCTTGAAATTTAATAAGGATCTAGCCTCTCCATTAGTAAAAATAAGTAAATCATCTGCAAAACCAAGGTGTGTTATAGGATAACCCACATTACCCATCCAAAAAGGTTTGATTCTGCCTTCCATCATTCAGTGTTTCAAACCCCTAGAAAAGCCTTCAGAGGCAAGAATGAATAAGAATGGAGAGAGAGGATCTCCCTATTTCACTCCACTTTTAGGTTGAAAGAAACCCTGAGGTGCCCCATTTATAAGAATGGAAAGGAAAGTAGCCTGAAGATTGGATCTTATAAGGGATATAAAATGATTTGAAAAACCAAATCTAGACAGAACATCACATAGGTATTTCCAAGAGAGTTTATCAAAAGCCTTTGCCATATCAAGTTTAATCACCACATTAGAACCCCTGATTTTTTTATCAATAGCATGAATCATCTCTTGAGCTATAAGGATTTGGTCAAAAATTTCTCTATTCTTCATAAAACCAGCTTGTTCTTCAGAAATCAGTTTGGGTATAATGGTAGAAAGTCTATTAGCAATGACTTTAGTACAAACCTTAGATATAAAGTTAGATAGGCAGATTGGCCTGTAATCAGAGAATGTAGTAGGATTATCCACTTTAGGTATGAGAACAACAAAAGAACTAGTCATACCCTTTGGAGGAGGAATACCCAAAAAGAATTCTTGAACAGCTCCAATAACATCATTCTTCACAATCTTCCAGCATTTTTTAAAAAACTTACCAGAAAAACCATCAGGCCCAGGAGCTCCATTCTGATTTAGTTCCCATATAGCCTCTTTCGCTTCAGTTTCAGTAGGTATTTGAGAGAGAAAAGCATTTTCTTCTTCTGAAACTAATGATGGAATATAATGCAGGATCTCATCAGTATCAACCTCAGGTTCAACAGAGTACAGATTTGAGAAATAGTTCACTGCAGCTTGTCCAATCTCTGGTAAGGTTTTGCATTCATTCCCCTGAGTATCAATAATAGAGCAGATGAATTGTTTTCTTTTTCTGATTTTCACAAAAGAATGAAAATAGTGAGAATTAGTATCCCCATCTTTCAACCAAGAAATGTGTGCCTTTTGTTTCCAATATTTCCTCTCCATTTTATATTTAGAAAGTAAAAGGGCTTTTTTGTGGGACCAATCCTCTCTATGTTCTTCAGAAGGCTGATCTTGAAATAACTTTTCAGCTTGTTGAACTTGATCTTCTCCTATTTTAATAGCTTCAAAAATGTTTCCAAAAACATTTTTATTCCAACTGCGTAGATCCTTTTTCAATCTCTGTAATTTATTAACCAATCCTCTCATACCTCCACCTGAGAATTCACTTTGCCAACTTTTCTGAACTGTATCCATAAAGGTAGAATGTGATAACCACATGTTCTGAAATCTAAAACACTTTGGCCCAGATTGGTTGTTGTTGTTTAATTGAATCAATAAAGGGGAGTGATCAGAAGGACTCCTATTAAGATGGTTAATTTTTATAAGGTCAAAAGCATCAAGCATTGCTTCATTCACCAGAACCCTATCAAGTCTTCTCCAGACCCTACCACTCGATCTGACTCCAGTCCAAGTAAATTTATTACCAGAGAAAGGCAAATCAATCAGTCCACAATCAGAAATACAATTTTTGAAATCAATCATACTCTGTATATCAGGATTAGAATTTCCCAGATGCTCCCCATGATCAATAATTGCATTAAAGTCTCCACCAATCAACCAAGGTCCCCTAACATGATCAACATAAGATGTTAATGATTCCCAAAGCGTTTTTCTTTCCACCACAGTATGATGACCATAGATTCCTGTGACCCAACCAGAGAAATTACCAGAAGAAACCTTGAAGTGAGTGAACTGTGGATTCCATGTTACCTCTGAGATGTTGAGGTAATTTGAATTCCAGAACACCCAAATTTTATTAATAGCAGAGTAAATAACATTACTAAAACCAAGCTGCATTTTGAAATAAGTAGCCTTTTTAACATCAACCATTGGCTCAATAACAATAAGAAGATTAATCCTCCAATTAACAATATGATTAGTTAGGCTTGGACAGGAGGCAGCCAAACCCCTAAGATTCCATATGAGACAGTTCATTTAGAAAGGTTGGGGGAAATTTTATCCAGCCTTTTGGCTGTACTTCTTGTTTGCATAGAGAAGCTTTCCAAAGGTTTAGGTTTTCTATTTCTTCTCTTTCTTCCAACTGTTATGAACTCTTGTTCCTCATTACATTCAGGATTGTTTGGACCAGACCTTGAAGCAAGAGCATCCAACAATAGGGAGTCCAGAATCTCACCTCTTGCCTTTAACATGATGTCCACCTTACTACTGATGGAAGGTAATACTTCTCTCCAGGAATCCACTTTTTCTGCACAATTAGGTATGTCTGAATCTGATGCATATTCTTTGGTAGCCTTTTCTGGATCAAACTCCAACAATTTTTGTATCTCTGGAATGCATTGATCATCCTGGGATTCATGGATCTCTTGTAGATTGGTAATAGATAGACCTGAAATCTCTTTTTGTAATATATTCTCTAGATGTTGTTTGTTGATCTTCGAAATACTTTTCTCTTTGTCAGTAGGTGAAGTAAATGCAATAGCCCCCGGAGGGTCTTCATGGAAGACTTCTTCATCATCAGAGTCAGTAGGAGTGGTAGTTTTTGGACCAGCTGTTGGTTCAAGTATTGGATTGATCGCCAACACCTTTGGAATATATTTATTTTTCTAATGTTCATTTCCTTTTCCAGTTTCTGTAATAACAACACCCTTTTGCTTTTCTCTGTAACTAACTGCTGTAGTCTTAGGATAATCACCTCCCTTGTCATTCCCACCTGAAATCTGGCCATTGCCTAGACTAGCATTTTTAGGGCACTTAGTCTTATCATGTCCCAGGTGGAGACATGATATACAATAGGATGGCCTATTTTCATACACCACATGTTGAATAAAACCATTTTTACCAGATTGGACTCAAATCTTACTAGGCATTTCCTTAGTAAGATCGATTTCAACACAAACCCTAGCCACCCATGGTTTTGAGAGGCTTGAAGTAGCTGCATCCAATTTCAGCGGATTGCCAATTAGTCTAGCAATGTCAAACAGCGCTCTTTTATCATGTAAATGAATTGATAATCCCTCAAACGATAGCCAAACCGGCACCACGGGTGATTCAACATTAGGTCTAAAATCAGTAGACCATTTAGTGACTCGCATAATGCTACCAAATATGTCCCATGTTTGTCTATTCCAGCATCTTAAATAATCCTCCTCCATTTCAAATCTAATGAGAACATGTTTTTTCTCTAATAGCCCAAGATGAAATTTTCCTTTGAAGCCAATAATTTCAAAAGACTTACGCAGTGTAGCCAAGGAAGGCCGATCCTTGAAAAAGTAACCCACCAGAGAATTTTTATGTTTAGCAGCCAGAATTTCCACATCCGATTCAGAAAAAGTCACCGCTGGCAATCCTTTGAACTTGGAATGACTGGCTGCCTTAATTGGTTCTGACGCAATACCCATCAACGCAGAAGCAAATGATTTCCTCCCACCGTCTGGAGGCATAGGCGGCGGCTGAGCCGCCGTAGAAGTTGAAGCCATCGAACCCCTACCCTCGCCAAAACCTAGCTCTCCGTTAATCTACTCCCTCCTTTCCTAAATAAACTTCCAACTTTCTTTTTTCGTCTGTTCCAATTCAAACTTCCAATTTCCCTTTTTAGTAAAGAATTTGTGATTCATGACATTTCTTACGCATTTCTGTCTCCTCTGCACAACTCTCCACCACACAATACTCACTATCTTAAACTGTGTGTCAAACCTATTTGGATGTTTTAATAGGAACGGAGGGAGTATATACTAAAAGAGGTCATATATTTGTCCAAATCCTTTTAATTAGTACTCTCTATCCCAAATTGTAAGACAATTTACGATTTACGATGTTTGACCGACGATAGAGCAAATCGATCTATGTCCGCACTCAAATTATTTCTAGAAAAAAAGAATTACATACTATCGATTTGGTTCATTGTCCATACTTTGAATTAGCAAATTTGGTTCTGTCAGTACTCAAATTTGGTTCATTGTCCATACTTTGAATTAGCAAATTTGGTTCTGTCCGTACTCAAATTTGGTTCATTGTCCATACTTTTAATTAGCTTTTAATCGATCATTGTTCATACTTTGAATTAGCAAAAACTACATTAAAAGCTTTACAAAGTCGTAAAAACCAGAACTAAATTTGATAAAAATTTGATATATAATAATGTAAGAGATTAAAGTGATTTAGGTTGGTGAAGTGAATAGGAAAAGTATACTCGCCTAACCCCTTTTGTATTTTATTTATCCATCAATAACATTACATGTTTTTTACACGGATAACATACATGCAAACATGCAATGCTTGATGAGTTGATGCTTATAGTGTCCATCACAACGATCACATCGCACTACGTATATTTCATCCTTTGCTTGTTACGTATATTTATTATTCGTTCTTTTTTATTAGTGTATTTATATATATACACATCATGGATCTCATGAATTGAAATCTAGCTTAGCAGATATGATCATATGATGATGATGATGAAGCCAAATACTTGGATCCTTCTGCTTCTAGCAGCTCTATTCTGTGGAATCCTTTTTGCACATGAGACCTCGTCCCATGATCATTACGCGCGGAAATAATGGTATGTACCTAATAAATACAGTACATGCATACTACGTATGTATCAATGTATCATCCGATCCATCGCATCTCTAGCTCATCTTCCCATCCATTATACACCACACACACATAAAGATGATACATACGTTTTGGGCAGTGGAGGAGCTAGGGGGGCGGGGGCAAGCGCCCCCGCTCCGACTAATTTTTTTTACTAGTATTACTTATAATATGTTTCTTGCTCCGGTTTCTTTTTTAATTTTAAAAACAATAAGTACAACTTAAGGTTATTTTAAGATGAAGTGTTCAAATAAATAAAAAAGTATTTTCAGAAAAAGTAAAAAAAATGAAATATAGAATAAAAGGGGATTAATGAGTCAATGAGACAAATGAGCATCTAGTCTAAAGCTAAGTAAAAAAACGGGCATAAGTAGAAAAATGAAAAAAAAAACAATTCTAAAGCCCAAGCCACCTAGACAATCCTAAAGCCTAAGCTCAAAAATGAAAAAAATAACAATTCAAAACGTAATCACTAAAGTCTAAAGCCATTAAGTGGGTTAAACATTCAAAGCTTCATTAACAAAAGACCTAGGCAGTCGGCAGTCCCTTCCCACTCTGCCAAAAAAAAAATGAATCGAGCAGTTGAGAACGCAGGCAGGCAGCGAACGTGAGAACTGAGAAGCAGCATCGCCCGCTCCCTCTCCGACTTTACTCCCCAACAGAAATCTACCTTCCTTCTCCAGTTAGTTCTCACTTCTCCCCATTTGTTCTCAGATTCTGCAATTTTCAAGTAAGTTTCTCATCTGCCAATTTATGTCCATATTAATTATTTGCTCTCATCCCTAACGAAAAGTCAGAAATTATTTGTGTGAATCCTCAAATCTCAGTTCTAGATGCAATTTAATGCTATTTGTATAAGGAACATTTTTAATTCATACTTATTTTTGTTATATTTAGGAGTATGAGTTTGGATAAATTTGTAATTAAGACTAAGAGGTCTTTGATTGGAGGTGTTAGTTCTTCAATTGTTCCTAATCAGTCTATCTCTAGTGTTGAAAATGTCACTGCGTCAAATGAAAATACTGCTAGAGATGAGAGGAATGAGAGGGACAAGAGAGCCCGAACAGAAAGTACACATGAATGGGATATTATTAGTGATCCATTTTTACGAAAGCCAATTAATGAATATGCGTCGGGGATTAGGGATGATGTGATGAGAGCATATGTTGTTAAAGGTGCTTGTCACCCAGCATCTCATAAGTTTCCACGAACTGAATTTGGTAAGACATTAAGGAGCTTTCGAGGAGAGTGGTTTAAAACTTGGGAATGGTTGGAATATAGTATTTCTAAAGATGCCGCTTTCTGTTTTTGGTGTTACCTTTTTCATGGGCATGAAGGAAAGAGATTTGGTGATGATGTGTTTGTGAGGACCGGATTCCGTAATTGGAAGAAAGCTCCTGAAAAATTTAGAGATTTGCCTAGGTTGCAGAAGTAAATCAAGTAGTATGTAATGAACTATAATTTTTTGTTAAATTATTACGCTATTGTTGTTCTTATTATATTTTGGACACGAACTTTAAAATTTTTAGTCTTTGGTTTGCCCCTCCTTGGACAAACCTCTGGCTCCGCCACTGGTTTTGGGTTATCTAAGGCATCAAAAGTTGCATTATCCAAAATGTATTCTCTGTATTTTGAAGTGGTTGGGTGCAAAAGGAAACGAGTTTTTGGAACCGGGAGGTACTCCGCATCATTCATTCAACAGTTAGAGTCAGCTGATCATCAAAGATGTTGTTCATCATCACGGCGTGTGTATGAGTTTTGCATCTATTGGGATGAACAAATGAGAAAATGGTTATCTTCTCAAGGCCATGAGTGTCCATCGGCAATGCCTCTTGTGGATGAAAGTTTGATGTACGAAAACCCTGATTCACATCCTAAGACTTTTGAAGATACATGGCTTTCGTTTTTTAAATCCCATGGAATTGATGCAGAAGGCTTTTTCCCACAAACAGATTTCTCTTCTCAAGGGTCCCAAGAATCAAACGAACCTTCTATGTCCCAATAGATATATTGTTTTTGCATTGAAAAGCTTGTACACTTAAGTATAGACAACTGAATATGGTGTATGCTATTTTGTGATTTTTCTGTGGTACATGAACTTGGTACTAGTAAGGATCTTTTGGGTTATATATTATCATATAAGAAGATGCTAATTAATAGCTATTATTTGATTGTGTATACATTAAATAGAATGCTTTATGATTTCATTTTGCATACATTTTGTTTTTTTATTAAAACAAAAATGCTAATGAAATTTAATCATGAATAATTTCAATGCAAAATGCGTTTTATTAAATATTTGAAAATTAATCAGTGGCGGAAATTAGCGACTGATTTCTGTCACAACACATAATGGCAGACGTATCTGCCATTGAATTCCGTCACAGATTAGCAACGACTTTATAATTGCGTCAGTAAACGTAATACCGCCCAGAATTTAGTGACGGGCAGTCCGTCACAGATTTCCGTCACTAAGCTTGTTTGTGGCGGAATTAGTGACGGATTTTCTGTCACTAAATTGCGAGATTTCTTGTAGTGTTCAAGTAGATCGGAGATTTGATACAGAAGAACGTAGATGGCATGGCATGGCCTGGAGCTAGGGTCGATCAGTATATACTCCCTCCGTTCCTAAATAAACTTCCAATTTTCCTTTTTCGTCCGTTCCAATTAAAACTTCCACTTTCCCTTTTTGGTAAAGAATTTGTGGTTCACAACATTTCTTACACATTTCTCTCTCCTCTGCACAACTCCCCACCACACAATATTCACTATCTTAAACTTTGTGCCAAACCCATTTGGAATTTAAAATGGGAAAGGAGGTAGTATAATATAAAGAGAGGAAGGTGAGATAGAAGACGTGACGTATGTACGTAAGCCATGCACAACGACGGAGTAGCTTAGCCAATCTTTTTGCTTAAAATAGTAAAGCTGCAGTACGTACGTGTGTAGGTGGAGGTGTTACTGGTAACAGATTGATGCATGCGCAACCATAATAGGTACCCATTTAAAAAATGGGGTATCGTATCTACCATTCATTTGATTGGTCCAAATAGGTATATCATTTTTAATTTAGACTTAAATAATTCAATTGCAACACTTTCATTGGTCCATGTGAACAAAGGTATGGTATCTTATGAGTATCATAGAATCTACCGTTCTTTGATTAATACTCGTATCACCAGTTCACCACCACCTTCATCGAGGAATTATATTGATACATTGAGGTCACACTCGGCGACCTCAAACCATTCCATCTTGAATATAATATACTAGCTTAGTATAGTGCAACCTCCATCACCAATCTAACTCTCTCTACCTATATTTATATGGGTCCCCAACAAAGTATACAAATTAATAAGACTAAAGCTCCAACAAATCATTCCATCCCTAATTTTTATTTTGATTTCACGCGTTGAATTGTGTAATAATATAAAAAGATAAAGTTGAAGTTACTTTTCTGTCAGTATTGGCTTAAGTTACTGTAGATGACCATTTTAACTACGTAGTACTCAGTATTTTTTATATAATATTTTCTTTATTTTATTAATATAATATATTTTAAATATAATTTTTTCATAAATCAGCATAATCAGCTAGTACAGCCACTTCAGTCGGAACTTCATAAATTTCATCAGAATCAGCTAGTACTTAGTTAACTTAGAAAATATAAGCCCATGAGACTAGTCATAGACTGGGTCGGGCAGTCTATAACCCGGTACCGACCCAGGACCGGTATTCTTTGTACCGGCCCGGCCCGGTACTGGCCCAGTACCCGGTTCGAGGTAGAAGATAGGCGGGCTACAGGTTGTATAATTGTGAACCAGCCCGGCTGGGTCCGGTCCAGAACTAACGGTCAATTTTTAAATTTTTTTTAAATATTTAAATGTTCGGGGGAGTAGGGTGCAAGGTAGCCGTTCCCAACAGCTATGTGACCGTTCGGGGTGGTTGGGTGGTTTGGGGGTGGGGTGCAACATATTTGTTAGATATTAGTTAACCATATTCAAGTTGTTAGATTAAAGTAGTTGCATTTTCATAATAAAGTCACATTTTAGTTACATTTTAATATTACTTGCATTTTAATGTTAAACTCACATTTTAGTTACATATAAAAACCTAAAGCATTTTAATATTAAAGTCACAATTTAATATAAAACCTAAACACAGATGCCAGTTTTGTACCTGGTAAAGCGGGTGGTGGTGCGATATTGAGGAATCAGGAAGGCGAACTGGTTGCTGCTATTTCATTTCCAATTGATCGATGCGTCAACGAGCTTAGAGGAGGAGATTCTCTCTGTCGTCTACGCTACACGATGGGCGTTGGAGGCTAGATTCTCCGATTTTGAGGTGGAGACGGATGATGCGATTGTTATCTCCTTGTTGAATCGGGTAGGAGAAGGGAGATGGAGAGGTTTAATTCAGGAAATGAGGTTATGCGGAATTAGGAAAGGGGTGTGGTTCAAGCATATCTGGCGTGAAAGTAATTGGGCTGCTCATCATTTGGCTGTTTCTTCTTCGGCCCAGACTATTTATTTTAATAGCCCAAAAGATCTCCCTTATCAGGCATGTCTGTCTTTTTTTAAAGATCTTTTTGGATCTCCTTCTTTTAGATGCTTTTATTAATTGTTTTGAGAGGAATGCCTCTCCGAAGAGGTTTTGGCCTAGTCCCCCTCTTCATTGTTCTCTTTTCTCTTTCTTTATAATATCCGGTAAACGTTCCCCGACGTTTACCCCACTGATTTTGGTGGTTGACCTACCGGGTTTAAAAAAATAAAATAAAAATAAATAAAACTTACATTTTAGTTACATTTTAATATTTGTTAGAATTTAACGTTTGTTACGTTTTAAGATGGAATGTGGTAGATATTCTGCAGATATGAGCAACCTCCACGCAACAAAAGGAAAGAGATTGTGAAAGGACATCCTCAGTTGCGAGGCAATTGTAAAGGACATCCTCAGTTTATGATGATGTCAAACATTTAACTCTTATGCCAAAATTAATTTGTGAAGAAAATTTGTATGTTGTTTTTTCTGAAAGTCTTGCTTTAAAAGCTTATGCTCGAGGTTTATTAAATCCTCAATATGGAAACCATAGTCGTAAAACCATTAAAAAAGAAGTTATAATGCAAAATGTTTTGGAAAACGATAGATTAAAAATGTTTTTCGCAAACTTTGTTTGGCGTTGATGGAGTATATGGGTCTAGACCCCATGACCCACATACTTCCAGCTACATGCAAGACCCGGGTGACGTACGGCGTCAAGCACAAGGAACACCCCGGGGACGTACGGCCTCCGGCACATGGATCACCCCGGGGACGTACGGCCTCCGTCACATAGGAAGGCCCTGGGGACGTATGGCCTCCAGCACGTAACAGTCACCCGGGGACGAACGGCCTCCAGCACATAGGAAGGCGCTGGGGACGAACGGCCTCCAGCACGTAACAATCACCCGGGGACGAATGGCCTTCAGCACTACCTCCGTCAGCCAGACGTACGTCTCCAAGGACTTCGTCTGCCACAGCCAGACGCACGTCTCCAAGGACTACGTCTGCCACAGTCAGACGTACGTCTCCAAGGACTTCGTGTGCCACATCCAGACGTACGTCTCCAAGAGCTTCGTCTGCTGGACTTCTCATGTAATCAGCCCAATACAGGCCTTATATTGTAATGGGCCTCCCAAGCCCAAGACTTGGGAGCCCAGACCACTTTTCCCTATAAATACTCCCATTGGGAGCCATGTAAAGGGTTCAGAATTTCATTAATACATTACACTTCTCTCTCTAGCTCTCCCTTCTCTCTAGGAGTCAATACTCCATCATTTGGTGCTCTCATTGAGAGCTAGAACAATCAAGTTAGCATCCTTCGTCGCTACCAAGCACAGCTACCTAACTATGGGAAGAATGAGGTCAAGGTAAGGGACGAGGAGGTCTTTCAGGAGGCCATCAACAAGGTAAAGGATGAGGAGGTCTTTCAGGAGGCCATCGACCCCACGGCTAACCTTCGCAATCAACTCAATATCAATGCTCAAGACGCCCGCGTCGGCCTTGAGAAGAAGCGCGTGGAGAAAAGTGACCGTGCGTCGGGACAACAGGCTACTCCCACTATCGACCCTCAGCTTCAGGCCGCTCTATCGGCCATCATAGCCAACCTGACTCAGAACCCCACCGTCCTCAGTGCACTTATGCCAAGGACGGGGGAGAACAGTACTCCACCGCCTCCTCCTCCTCACCCGTTGGTCAGGAACGTCAGCAACGAGGAGGGGGTCGTGGCCCAGGACACGACATCCCATTCCGATCCTGCTTCCCATCGTCGAGCTGGACCGACCCCAGTGCGTAGAGCCTCGGCCACTACGGCCGTCAAAGACCCCTGGGACGAGGTCATCGCCCAGCTGGAAAGGAGGCTTGCCCAGATGGAGGCCAAGCAGTCGGCCGCTATCCCTACGGCCAATACATCCAGGGACCCCGGCTTCAACGCACTCCTGCACAAGGTCAGCACCCTAGAAAGGGAGTTCGCCGAGGGACGTGGTGACCCCGTCATCCAAATCAGAACAAAAACTCCCTTCACCACAAGGGTACTCTCGACCCCAATACCCGAGAAGTACCGGGGGAGTGCCATCAAGCCTTATGACAGCCGCCCCGACCCCCAAGAGCATTCAGCCGCTATCAGAACAACATGCTGATGGTGAATGCGTCGGACGAATACCTCTGCCGCTGGTTCCTTTCCACTCTCGAGGGACTAATGTACGAATGGTTCAACGCGCTCCCCGAAGGAAGCGTGGACTCATGGCAAAATCTTTCCCAACGCTTCCTCACCCACTTCGCCGGAAGGAAGCGCATGAAGAAACATTTCTCCCATCTCCTCTTCGTCAAACAGCAACACGATGAATCACTTTGGTCTTTCATTGACCGATGGACGAAGGAGACAGACGAGGTTGAAGGTGCTGATGAGTGCACCCTCCTCGTGCTCTTTCAGAGCACTCTCCGCAGCAGCCCCTATGCGAGGAGCCTCATCACTGACCCGCCGAGGTCATACGCCAAGGCACTCCGACGAAGGAGCTTGTATGCTGACGCCGACGAGCTCCATTCCCACAAGAAGGACAGCCATCAGCCAAAGAAGTCCAGCAATGCTCCTTTAGCCCCCTGCCAGGGAAAG